CCAGAACTGGTTTAAAATCAGAAGGTGCCTCAATCCCCAAATGTCCTGCAGAACATCAGGAGGTGGGGAAGGGTGCTGCATGTCCCTGCTGTCCCCTGTGCAGGTGGCCATTGCCATAGAAGAGGTCAGTCGGTGCCACCTGAGGTTCACTTTCCGTCACCGCTCGTCCCAGGAATGTGAGTACCAGGAAGGGGCTGTGCTCTTCCCACCCTCCTGGGGATTTCCTGAGCATCCCCCAGAAGTGTGGCTCTTTTTGCTGCTCATTCCTCATTTCTACTTAATTCCAGCATTGTGGATTTTTTTGCAAGCCAGAAGCAAAATAACTCAGATTTTTTCACCGTGCGGGTTTGGTGCTGGTGCTGTTCTAAAACTGAAATTAGAGAAGGAGCAGCATGATGGCCCCCTTAAAAGGCAGTTGTCAGTGCTTATTATTGCTCTGGCTTCTCAGTGTATGGTGTTGGTTTTAATTTATGTTAAGGCCTTGACAAAATTCAGTGCAAGGCTTGGTGGGCTTCTAATGGTCTTCCTGTAGGAGGATTTCTAATTAGGTAAATGATAAACTAATGAGAAAGTGAGAGCCAGAAGTTTCATCAGGCAATTTCAGAGCCCTGAAACAAGATCAGCAATGTGAGAATAAGCCCTTGAAAGGCTCTCCAGAAAATCCTCTGAAGGTATCTGGGAGATGCAGAGACTTCCACATCCATTCCTGACAAACAGAGGTGCAAAATCCCGACCAAAATATCTCTGCAGTTGTGTATCATGGAGTCATTGAATCATTAAGGTTGGAAAAGACCTCTAAGATGATGGAGTCCATCCATTCATGTGTCCATCCATCAGCAGGATTAAGCACTAAACTGGTGTGGTGGGAGATGCTGCAGAGAGGATGTTTGTGTAGCTGCAGGTACCTGTGGAGTGCCTTGAGATGCTAATAAATAAAAAAGCTGCTGCCTTAGATAGAGAGCTGCACTGTGGCTTGTATGCCCATAAATAAGGCAGTTCCTAACAAAGATTTCTCCTGGTGTTTGCAGCCAGGGATAGGTCTGAGAGAGCTTTTGGTGTGGGCTTTGTGAAGCTGATGAATGCAGACGGGACGACGCTGCAGGATGGCAAACACAACCTGATTGTTTACAAGGTAACCTGGCCACAGCCTTGCCTTTTGTCTGACTGATCAAAACACTCTCTTGGCTGGTTTTCCCAGCTACAAAATGTGTGGGTGGGGAGGGGAGACCCTCCTAAACTCTGTGGTTTGGATTTCTGAAAATATCTTAGTCCTTTAGCTGCATGGGCAACTTATTCCCTGAAGTGAGAAGCCCAAACAATTCCAGAGGTTAAGAAGTGTTTCAAATCCATTGTGTCCATCACTGTGTTGAAGTTTGGCTGCAGCTGAGAAGTGCAGGAGGTCAGATGAGTGTGCTCAGTGTGAGACAACCCTTCTCTCTGCTGCTCTCGACCCACAGGGCGACAACAAGAAAATGGAAGATGCCAAAAGCTATTTGAGTCTTCCTTGCACCAAAACGGAGATGGAGGAGAGGGAGGCTCCTTCAGGGAAGAACCTGCACCACCTGGCCAACTTCACCCCCACGAAAGACAGCACAAAGGACAGCTTCCAGATTGCCACTGTGATCTGCTCCACCAAACTCACCCAGAATGGTACGTCCTGCGCTGGGGGTTGGAAGTAAAAAGGGCATTTTCTTCACCCAGGTGTTTTGGCAGTGCAGGATGGGTGGGCACAGTGCTTGAGCTTTAATTTTGCTGTTTGGCTCATCAATGGCAGCATTGTTGGCATCACGTTGCCAGTACAAGCTACAGAGGTGTTTGTGCAGCCACATCCCGTGAATGTTGTATCCAAACTGCCCCTGTTAAATCCTTGTGCAGAAACAGCACCTCCCAGTGACAGTGTGTGTGTTCTCTCAGAGTTATGAATGTTTCAGGGTAATTATCTTCTCTGCTATTAAGAGAGCAGCAGTTAGAACTGAGCTCTGCAGGATGCTGTTGGACATTAACTCTGCTTTTCGTGCTGCCAGAGGGGTCAGAATGAAGGGATGTACAGATGGGAACGAGTGCAGCGTGTGCTGGGAGATGATGGGAGACTTCCAGTAGCTCTGGAAGGCTCTTGGGCTGAGCCATGCACTCTGATAAAATCCCTGGCTTGAGATGCCTCCTCTGAGTGAGTGAGAAACCTGCAGAATTGCCTCCAAGTGCCTCGTGTTGTCAGGACTGCACCAAAGTTTCCATTTATAGCCAAACCTCCCTTCCTCGCCAGGACAGAGGAACCACCTCCAGGTAACATTCTGTGCATCAGGGTGACTTTTCCTCGTGCACTGCTGCTAAAAATAACCTCTAGGCTCGTTCTGCAGCCCTTAAGTCAGCTGGGGGGGGGTTGGAAGTGCTAATTGCTGCCGTTGTTGTGCCCTTGCCAGTTGACCTGCTGGGTTTGTTGAACTGGCGCTCCAACTCCCAGAACATCGCCCACAACCTCAGGAAGCTCATGGAGGTGGAAGGAGGGGAGATTGTGAAGGTATTCCTGGGGATTTGGGTCTCCTTTGGTGTTACCCAAGCTCAGGTGTGCGTGCCTGGGGTTGGCCTTGAAGGGTTGGGGCCGTGCTGTGCCCAAAAAAAGGGGCTGGGAGGGCAATTCCAGGGGAATCATGGAATGGTTTGGGTTGGAAGGGACCTTAAAATCATCTCATTCCACCCCCTGCCATGGGCAGGAACCCCTTCCACCAGACCAGGTAGCTCCAACCTGGCCTTGGACATCAGGGAGATATTGGGGACTTTATTTTCCCTGTATTCTTAGGAAATATTTTTTGATTAATTTTGAAATGATGAAAAGTTATGAAATATATTCCCCTGCATCCTTATGAAATACACATTCATGTATCCTTATGGAAAACACATTCAAAGCCTAACTTAATTTACTATTATATTTTTTTTCCCCCTCTAGTTTTTGCCAGCCACCCTTTTACCATTATTTTTACTATTTTACTACTATTCACTATTATTTTTTTACTATCATATTTTTTCCCCTCTAGTTTTTGCCAGCCACCCTTTTACCATTATTTTTACTATTTTACTACTATTCACTATTATTTCTTTACTTTTATATTTTTTTTCCCCTCTAGTTTTTGCCTGACACCCTCGATGCACTTTTCAACATCATGATGGAGATGTCAGAAAATGAAACCTATGACTTCCTTGTGTTTGATGCCCTGGTGAGTGAGTCTTTTGGGCATTTAGAGCATTTGTTTTCAGCCACGTTTTCAGCCTCTTTGTGGTGATTCCTTTAGATGAGCAGCTGGTATTTTGCTCTATTAATAAATTACATTTAAACTCTTCTTAAGGCGTTTTCAGAGCTAGGACTGAAGTGCACATTCAGCTTTTTAGTGACCACAGTGAAAACAGTAATAAATAAATAAATACACCCAGTGTTTAGTGACTGTTAGAACATCAATAACACTCTCTGTGGCATTAATGCTGTTAAGAAAACAAACAAAACCTATAATCCAGCAAGAGAAATGACATGCAAGTGGAGGCTGAGTTATGTTGGAGTTCCAGGCTGTGCAGCTCTGTACACGTGTTTCCTTTTGAATTTTTTTGGCAGGTATTTATTATTTCTTTGATTGGAGACATCAAGTTCCAGCATTTCAACGCTGTCCTTGAGACTTACATTTACAAACACTTCAGTGCAACCCTGGCATATGTGTGAGTATTGGTGCACCCAGGCTGATGGCTTGTGATGGGATTACTTTTTAATTCTGGTAATGGTGGTATTTATTAGGTAATTTTTGATGATGGCAACGTGATAAAAGCAGCAGAGCCCAAGGAGTCCCATCCCATTCTTCTCCACTTTCACAGGAGAGAAAGACAACTTGTAATTCCTCTTTATAGCCTCTAAAAATTTCTGTTGGGAGATTTTATTTTGTTTTTTTTTCTGTAAGGGAAGGACACTCCTGTCGTGGATCTTGACTTCCCAACTCCTTGATCCAGCACCTCTCAACCCAAAGGTCATCACCCTCATGGGAAGAGGGAACTAAAAAGTTATAACTGAGGCCAATAATCTCTTCTTTTGCTGATTTTTTTTCCTGATCCATGTGAATTCCTGGTGCTGAGTGCTCAGCATCTCTTGCTGGCTGTCACCCTGAAGATAATTCCATGAGGAAGCACAATTTGAAGTCCCCATCTCCTGGATTTCTTTCTCCTTCCCCTCACTGCTTCCATGTGATTTCCTTCCCTTCTTCCCTGTAACCTGTGGAAGAATCATCATTATTTCCCTCACAATAAACAGACTTTTTAGTCTGATTAAGTGGCACACTGGCTTAGCTCTGTTGTTGTTCCCTTGCCTTCTTTTCCAGCTTGGCTTGGCGTGACACCTGCACGATGCCAAGTGAACTGTAATATTCCAGAGCATCCTTTGTGTGTTCCACGTGCCAGAATTTGGAAAAAAGGGGGGAATTGGATGCTAGCAGGGTGGCAAATAGAGCAGCAAGAGCTTGGCTGTCACTCTCACACTGCTTTGGGTGCTGGGAGTTGATTAACGAAGAGGATTTTGCCTGAATATTCCCAGCCCTGGCACTGGGGGAGGATCCTGATCTTCTGCTGGGGCAGAGACCTGATAAAAAAATCCACATCATGTGTTTGTGCCACTTGTCTGCAGCTCAGAACTGCTTCAGGAGAGCTTTGTGCTGCACACTCGAGACTGAGAACCCACGGAGGAGGTGTCAGTCACCTCCAGCAGGAACGGGTTTTCCAGCTCATTTTAGGGAAGAAGAAAAGGAGATCAGGAAGGTGGAATTTGCAGCCAGATTTGTAGGCTTTGTGAGAATTCATGAGGTGGTTGTGAAAACCTGGCATCCCGTGAAGCCAAGGGTTTCAGGAGGAAATGGGCTGAGAGGAGGAACCTCTGTTACTGTTTATTGGCCTGGAGTTCCCCTCTGGAATAAGGAAGCTGGGCTTGGGCAGGAACTGAGCTGTGTCTCTATTAGTTCTGCTTTGTGCTTTCTTTCCAAAGGAAGCTCACCAAAGTGCTCAACTGCTACGTGGGGAATGCTGAGGACTCCAGCAAGACAGAGCTGCTCTTTGCTGCCCTGAAAGCCCTCAAGTACCTGTTCAGGTTCATCGTCCAGTCCCGGGTGTTGTACCTGAGGTGAGACCACGGCCACTGCCAGCCCTGGGGCTCCTCTTGGAGCTCTTCCAGTCACCCCAGATTCCTCACCATATCTTCTATCCCTTATTTATTATGAGGACCTTCCTGCCCTTTGCCTGGAACAAATAAATTAAGCAAAAATTGGAGTAGCCCATTTGAAGAGAAAGAATCCTTTTAGTCACCCCCAGCAGCATGGGAGAGCTGAAATGGAGCCCAGTATTTATTTTAAAAAGGAAAACATGGAATGACTTCCTCATTTTAAGACCCAAACACACACGACAAACACTTGTTAGGTGAGGTGAGGGTGGCACCTCCTCCAGTTGGAGGGTGGTGGTGAATGGCAGGGGTTGTACTGGAGCCTCAAAACATCTTGGCAGAGATTTACAGTGAATCCTGTAGGGTGGAATCCTTTACCCATGTTCATTCTGGCTTTTTCTTTGTTTAATACCTTTACTGTTGGAACCCAAGCAGAATTTGCAGCTTAAAAAGTGCAGGTTTTCCCTCATAAGAGATTCCAGCAGGAAATCACTGCAAAGCCCCAACACTGATGGTCCCCTCATGTGCCTGTGGGAGGAGATTGCACTGAGATGTTGGTGCCCAGGATAAAATCCCATTTCAGCTGCCCCAACACTGTTATCCTGGGTTTATGTGTCTGTTCTTTGCAGTGTTTATGGGAAGAGTGAAGATGGGAATGAATTCAACGATGCCATTCGCAAACTCTTCCTGTCCTTCAACATCCTCATGGACCGGCCTCTGGAGGAGGCTGTGAAGATCAAGGTGAGCAAGATTTGCAGGGAGAAGTAATAATATCTTTTATTAGATCAGCTCATACAGCTGGGAGGGAGCTGGGCCAGGAAAAGGAACAGGCTTTGGGGAATGTAAAACCCCTTCAAGGCAAGTCACCCCTCTGAGTGTCTGTTTTAATGAGCTGTGTGTGTGGCAGGAAAGGGGTATTTAAAGCCAAAAGTTCATCAAATAAAAAGAGCAGCATCCCTTCAGCATCTCCTGAGATAAGAGCTACCACCTGCCCCAGGGGGGAAGGCACTTCAACCAAGCCTGAGGCTGAGGGAGGTACAAATGTACAACTACTGCAGAAATCCCTCGAGGGTGGTGGAGGTACAAATGTACAACTGCTGCAGAAATCCGTGTAATGCTGGGAATTAAAGCAGTGAAAAAACCCAGATGGTCTCTAAAGGTGTCTTAGATCTTGTACCTGCTGGTTTTTCTGGTGTCAGCAGGATGATGAACCTTGTGCTGGTGCTCTGAGGAGGAGCAGAGCAGCGAGGCTGCTGAGTTGCTGAAGGCAGTGAGACCTGGAGATTCCTTGCTTTGTTTCCATTCTTCCATGCTTTTTATTTGAAGGAAAGGGTGACTCTGAACTTTTAATTAGCTCTGGGGTGATTTAAAGCCTGACTGTGATTTTCAGGCAGTCAGAGTAGCTGCTGGCAGCAGCTCCAGAACATCCCAGAGACCTGGAGTCAGAGTTATCTGGATGCTACATTTATGAAAGCCTTCCTGCTGCCTGGATAACTTATTCCTGGGGATGTGGATGTGCTAAACTGTGCAGAACAGAGCCAATTTACCTGCCCAGTGCTTTTTATGTCAGGCAATAAGGTGCTTAACCCCTGGAACTGCAGGATGTCTGCAAAAAAGGAAAGAACTTGGCCATGAATCCTTCCTCCCTCACCTTGCCAGCTCTGCACTGCACGTGTGGGGTTGTTGGAGGCTTTTTGAAAGCATAAATTTGATCTTAAGCCGTTTCCCTGCAGTTGTCCCCATATTTGCTCTCGACAAAGACTGGATGTGCCCCCTGTGTTTCATGTCCTTGGGTTTTTTCTTGCAGGGGGCAGCTCTGAAGTATTTGCCAAGCATCATAAACGATGTCAAACTGGTGTTTGACCCCGTTGAGCTCAGGTAACTGTGTTAAGTTTGTCCTCTAAACCCAGCTCAGCTGGGGGGGAAGAATTTTGGACACTTTGCTTAAAAACAACCACTCCAGTTCTGAGATGGTGGTGCAGATGCTGGGCAGGGATTTGAGGAAGTGCTTGCAGGGTTTTAAAGGATGTGGTTAAAAGGGTTCTGTGCATCTCAGCTGCTTGTTCTGGAGGTGTCCAAGGCCAGGTTGGACAGGGTTTGGAGCAAGCTGGGCTAGTGGAAGGTGTCCCTGCCCATGGCAGGGGTGGAACAAGGAGAGCTTTAAGGTCCCTTCCAAGCCAAAGCATCCTGGGATCCTGTGCTTCTTACAGACACCTTGAGTTTTACTGAAAACCAGCCCTGGAGGACTGTGCAGCGAGATGTTGAAATGTTGTGCAGGTTTTCCACCAATTCTTAGTGGTTGTTCCTGAGTTGAATTGAAATCCATGGCAAAGGCAGAGCCTTGGTTAAGGAAACAAAGCTGTATTTATCCAGGGAATCCACAGCCCTGTGGATTCCTGTTCTTTGGTGTTCACAGCTTTGCCCAGAACTGCCCATCCCTTGTGCTGACACAAATAATTTGCTCAGAAGCAGCAGACAGACAGCAAATGTCCACGGAATTGACTTTAATGGAATCTCGGAGTGAAATGAGTCATCACTCTTGATGAAAGGGGCATCTGGAAGGATGTGCTTTTGCTGTTGTACATGGCTCAGCTTTCAGCAGTGGGGCTGCCGGGTCTTTGCAAAATTCTGCTTTCATTTTGAGTGAAAAGCAAGTGTGATTCTCTTCTGCTGGCACTGGAGGGCAGAGAGTATTGTCTGTGTGTAAATTTTTGTGATGTGTCTAGTCTGCCTTGGAATAAAAGCCTAATTTTAGGAGTTTTAAGCCTGCAGTTTCTGAATACTGCCCAGTTTTACTTCAAGTGCTGTACTGAGTTTCTTAAAAATAAGTCAGGGCTGTGCAGTAGTTTGCCTGGAGACAACATGTCCACACTGAGACAAACCTGCTTGACTTCTTCCCTCTGAGGGGGGTGAGGCCCTGGCACAGGTTGCCCGGAGCAGCTGTGGCTGCCCCATCCCTGGAAGTGTCCAAGGCCAGGTTGGAGCAACCTGGGCTAGTGGGAGGTGTCCCTGCCCATGGCAGGGGCTGGAATGAGATGATCTTATTTAAGGTCCCTTCCAACCCAAAGCATTCCATGATTCTGTGGCTTGCCCGAGTGCAGGGTGGGATGGCATTGGGTGGAAGCACTGACCATCTTTTCCCTCTGTGGTTTGCACACCAGTGTCCTCTTCAGCAAGTTTATCCAGAGTATTCCTGACAACCAGCTCGTCCGCCAGAAGCTGAACTGCCTGACCAAGATTGTGGAGAGTGATCTGTTCAGACAGGCTGGTGAGTGGATTCTCCGTGGGGCCACACAGCCTTCAAACCAGAAATGCCTTGCAGGGTCCCATGTCAGCCACCAGTGCTAATCTGCCCTTAAACCCATCTTTGGAAATATCCCTTCCCCTGGAAGAACTGAAATGGTTTTTGGCTGTTGGGTCTTTATCCAGTTCCCAGTGCTGTGGGATCCTGGTGTAGAAAGAGGCAGAAGTTGAGTTTGCT